TAAAGTAATTTTTATGTATATAATTAGCTTTTAAAGGTTTCTTACTATATCCTTACTAGCTATAAATACGATATATCTATATTCTATATATTGTCGGAATGGAAGATACATTGAGAATTATTGTCTACATTTTCATACAAGCAGCAGAGTGTCAATTACCTAAGAAGTAACTGATATGAAAGTGAGATATGTCTAGGTAAAGTAAGATATGTTGTGGGAGAAAAAATGATTGTTTCAAAAGAAAAAACAGTTAAATATTTGTCTATTTCATATCTCTAAATATATTAAGGAACAGAGGTAATGATGAATTTATTAATGCATTGACTTATAAAGTATCTGAGTAATTACAAAATGGGAAATAGTTGTAATTACCATTTGTACTATAATATGGCTTAATGCCTTTAGAAAAATATAGCCAAAAGAAAATAGAACAATTACATTAAACATTGTCTTGTAACTCTAAATTATTCTATTTAAAGTAATTCAATCATTCAATATTTAGAATGATTCAATGATTCAATAGTTTGTATTTTAATACATTTTTTTTTTATTAAGTTTGGATGATTTCTTTATAGCTACGGGCAAATTAAATTTCAGTGTCCTTCCATTTCTTGCCATATTAATTTCTGTTTATCAACCAGGGTATCAATTTTTCTTCCTCATATTTTACTCATCTTTACCTTCCAGGAATCTAAAGATTCCAAAGTACTTCTTTAGTTTTGAGTTTCTAAAAAAATGTATTTATGATCTCTAAAGAAATAAAAAATAGAGTAGATTGATGGAATGAGATATCAAACAAAGAGAATACAGAAAGGAAAGTATAACAAGGCAAAAATAACTGCATCACCTAGAAAAGGTATTATGGTGTGTCAGTGGGGTACCTAACGGTGACTGCACCTCTATACAAGTGTTTTCTTATGTGTCTCTCTCTTAAAAATAAAAATAAATAACTTTAACCTAAACCCATAAGTGTTATTTTAGCCCAAATTTGTCATGTAATCTTTCCTGAATATACTAAAATTACCGTAATTCAGCTCTGTGTAGTAAATAATTCCTCTATAATTTTTGTTTAGTTGAAATGTTTTCCAGAATAATCAATATAACCAAGATGTATTGTATCAGTTATATAAGCATTATTTGCCCCACTTTATATACAGTAGTATCTTTTGATTTGGCAATATTATAGCAATCACTGGATTCCTTAAATCATCATTAGAAATAAATGTACACCACCCAATTAATAATTGATCCAATGATAATTAATAAATTATACTGGGGTTCAAGAGGCTTTTTGAGTAACCAAATAAAAAGTAATTATTATTATCTTCAAATTTGTGATGACGCGTAATCCACTCTGTTGATATTGATTGATGAGAAATAGATCAATGGCTCACTTGTAAAAAGTCATAAGTCTAACTCAATTCCTATATGCTTACAAGTTTTTAAAAGTTAGTAACCCATAAATCAACCATTCAACACTTAATGGCTATGGTAAACCATCAAAAGAAGCTCAGATACTCAGATTATCTAATTTATTTTTTCAGTAGTTATTCGATCTTAATAAATTATTTATACATTTAAAAACAAAATCTCCGAAATCCATGGGATTCTGTTCAGTTAGTATAATTTTAAAGTTGGTTATTGCTGCACTTGATTTGATTCGTAGCAAAATATTCCTTTCAGAAAAATCAATTTATTTAATTTTTTCTTTAAGCTGACCGGACTATGAATTTTCATTATTTATTGAAAATTTGTATGTAACTATTCTTTAAAGTATCGCTATAAAATAAAAAGACTGTGTTTCTTTTATGAATGTGATGAGATAGATCTAAAGTAAAAATAATGAATCAAACAAGAGACTATATCAACAGACTGTAGATATGGAACTAAACATGTTTGCAGCTATTGAAGCATTTTAATTATATAAACTTTGAATTATACTTATGATCTTTTAATTATCTTTAAATGCTATAAAATTTATTCATGGTCGAAAAGTTGACACTACCTAGAACCTGTGATGCGCATCACATTTATACTAATTATGAAAAGAAATATGTTGCTTTCGGTGGGGTCACTTTCATTTAAAAAAAAAAATCAATGAAACAAAATTTTAAAATTCATCATAAAGTGAATAAAAAAGGTAACAATAATAATTACCTTTTTTTTTTTTTTTTATAATAAGAATGCTCAGGAGAGTCTACATGCAAAGTGATATTTATAAAAGCATTGTTTCTGTCATCAGGAAATCTTTGTGCTTTGAACCCTAAACAAATAGACAATGCATTGTTCCATTTTTCAAAAATGATTATAGCATACAGTTGGTTGCAAAGAAAAAAATCTAAATAACTCTGAACCTAATGTAAATTAAAAAAAATATTCTAAATAATCCTAAACCTAATCTAAAATGTATTTTTCATCATTACCCTGTTCCATATAATCTACACCTTTTATCATGAAATTCATTGTAAGGTTTGTTGTTTTTGTGCTAAATGTTGACGATAAGAATTAAATCAATTTTGTAAAACAAGGTTGAATTAAGTTTGACATAACAGTATAGTAAAATTATTTATAGCAAGTTATTAACTTTAGGCCTTTTTTTTTTTTTAATAATTTAGAAATTTGTAACTTACACTCTGCTATTTAAATAAGAAACATCAAATTTGTAAAAGTTCTGATTTCTTAGCTATTTTTAAACATTTACAAAATAGTTTAATATCAGAAAAAAGAACCTTTTCAAAATGCTAAAATCTTACAATTAATAAACAAATTTTTATTGTCATTTGCAGTATCTTTTAGGAATAGAATCCTAAAAGCCCTATCTTAACATTTATTTAATTTATAACTACAACTATATTTAATTATTGTACAATATTTTGTAACCGAAATATATCGAGTTAAAGACATACACATTTATAGATAGAGAATATTGTCTTAAATATGTATTGTCATCTATTTAAAGTATATATTATTTGTTATTATATTGTCATATTTATTGTTTTTTATTGTCCTATTTGGAAGAATCTTGACATTATTGATTTAAAACTTTTAAATCGCTTCATTTTAATTAATAAGATTATTCTTACTGTTCATTCTACTTTAAAAGGGCTAAGTTATGTCATAATTTTTTTGAATGTTTAAAAAAATATATAATTAATTCTCTTCTTATAATGATAACCAGATTGATGTCAAGAATAAATTAAATAATTATGATGGCATGGCTTTCAAGTAAACTGACTAATTTTAAAGTATGTAATACATTTTTCATTAATCCAATTTAATTAAGATTGAATATTAAATAAATTGAATGCTTTGTAAAAATATATCTTAATTTGTTATTTCAAAAAATAATTTTATCTTTAATCATTTTGGTTTGCCTTTTATTTCTTTATTATTTCTTTATTATTACTATTATATTATTTTATTATTATGTCTGATTTTTTTTTTTGATAAATAGTTAAGCTTATAACAAAAGTTAAACATTTTTTAACTGTTTTAAGTTAAGCATATATATATATATTTTTTTTTTTTTGGTTAGTTTTCTATTGATCAGTAAGAACTAATTATATTGTATTTTCTTGACAGCCTCTCTGTTCACTTTTTAAAAGTGTTTTCATATTTTATATACCATCTAGTAATCAGTTATATTTATAATGTAATACTGTTAAATCTGTAACAGTATTAGATTTAATTTTTAAAATAGAATTTATCTTTTGTATTCCAATCAATCAATCAATCAATCAATTTGATTATTTATTAAAAAAAAAAAATCCTATCTAAAAAAAACAAGAAAACAATAATAATAAAAATGAAAAGATTTATAGATTGTGGATTTAAAAGTGCTTACAAAAATTCAGTAAAGTTATAACAATCATGAAAATAGACATTAAATTAACAAACTTTTAGAATTTCATAGCTATAGAAAGAAATTTTGATTCAGTCAGCTGAAACTTTGCCTAAGCTGACGAAGAAAGTGAAACACAAAATATATTTAGGATTATATAAACATTTAACTCTATAGTTGAAATTTTTTAAATTAAAAAATTTGCTTTTCACAAAACTAGAATTACTTGACACGCATTATTTTATCCATTATAACTATTTATTATATCAATGCCGATAATTTGTTAATATAACATTTAAATTTATTTATTTCTCATTATATACCATAAATTACTAAGCTATTTTGTTTTTATGGTTATCATTATTTGTCGAAAATTTTATTTTTTCACTTAAATGTATTTTTAAGAAATCACAAATGCACATAACAAAGCCCTTTTCAATTCATATTCCACTAAGCTAATTTTATTAAGTACATTAGTAATATTTTTTTTATATAAATAGATATTTCACAATGTCCAAATAAATTCAAGCATTTATCTTATTTTTAACTATTGTCTGGTTTATTCAAATCAATATTGTAAATTTATCATGAGGTCTTAAAGAATTGTATTCACCTGGCAACTAAAGTTGCATTTGTAATAAAATATTATCTATTTAAATACTGTTAAATGTAATTTTAAGACATTAACATAAACATTAGTTTGTAAAAATTTTGAATAAATAATATATTTTGTCGAAAAACGTTATATGTTTATAAAATCTATTTCATATCTAAATACATTAAGAAAATAGTGTTCATTTATCTCAATATTCTGGCAATATAGTATAGTAGTGACGTACAATGACTATGAATATTTTTAGAAAACATTTAAGGATTTAGGTAACGCCAGCCGATCTCCTCCACAGTTGTAAAAATACCCTCTATTTAGAATATGTTGCAGTAAGAAGAATAATCACATCAATGAACTTGAACATAGTGGCCGACCAGCACTATTGATTCTTTAAAATTAATTTCTGATATCCATCGGCCTCATATCAAAGAATCAATCGGTAGTGTGCGAATAATTTAAAGACTTGAGTAGCAATAGCTGAGAAAAGAGCTTCGAGAACCAAAATATAGGATTGAAAAGGGGATTACCCTTTAGTTCTTGCTTTACCTCTCAGTCGGAATAGCGCGCTATTTGCTCTTTAATCCATGGTACGTAATGGGGTACATAGGCATAGACACCGGGGAGGCGAGGGTGAGCACACTTGATGCCCCAGGATACAATACCCCCTACGAACCATCTGTCAACATTTTTATTTGTACGGCAAAGAAGGGGCCCTCCAGAATCTCCCTGTGAACAAAAATAATCTTTAAAACTAAATATATAGAAATCCATAACACAACTTTAAAATTTTAACTGTTTTTTATCTTTGAAAAGTTATTTAGAAGGACTTTTATTTTAACTGCATGATACATTATTAAAAAAAAACTGAAATTATTGCAGGCTTAAGAAGTTTAAACTCATTAATAAGTAGTTCACCGAATAATTATACTAAAGAAATATATCTCAAAATACTTCTACCATAGATATTAAATTAAATATATCATAAGTTATATTAAATTATTAAATCAGCCTATGAAAAATAAGAAAACTTGGGCTCGAGGTGAGCCAGACAAATACGAAATACATGGCGACCAAGAAGACGCATGGATGCAATGAGATGGTGATATTTGGGGACGAATGATTTGAGCAAGTCACTATATTTATTTATTTAGGTTCCATAGTAACATAAGAAAACATTGTAGAAGTGGAAATTAGAAGGAAAATTGTTTCCTTATAAGATTTTTTGTTGGTTAAAAATGGTAGAAGATATGGAACATAGTCTATTTTTACTCTCACTAAACCACGTATGTAAGGGAAAGTATTGCGATCGTGAAAATTTTTAATTTAAATAATAAAAATTATGAATAAAATTTATTCTCATAAACATTGTTCACATGTCCTTCAAAATATTTAATTTGTAAAATTTAAAAGCATTTCTTGGAAAGTATATTCAAAGCAATGAAATTTTTCAAAATTGATTAGAGAAGAAGAATATGGAGATATATATTAGATATATTTTAAGTAGAAAATTCACCTGGCAAGCATCTTTGCCTCCTTCTTTGTAACCAGCACAAATCATTCCTTGTGTCACATTTAGATCACGAGGTTCAAGCCATTTATTGCATAATGATCTGTTAAGTACAGGAACCTGAACTTCATTCACTGTAGCTTCGTATTCTGACACTAGAAAGAATTTGACTATGAGTATTTTATTTACTAATATGGTTTTAAGGAAATCTAATATAAATAACTGAATGTTTATTATATGGTGGTTAGCTATTTTAACAAAGAATTATTATTGTTTTATCAAAATTAGAGAACAATATAACCAAGCATGTAGCTCACTAGCTTTGCTGAACAAATAGTTGAAACATTAATTTGGCTCGATAAATTTTCTCCCTACAACCAGCCAAAAAATTAAAAAATACAAATGTAATGCATATTATTCATTGTAATTTTTCATATTTATTTTTTCAACCAACAGAACAAAAAATATACTAAACCAAACTAATTATTGATCTTTTAAACAATCAAAATTAGGAAAATTTGTTGTAAACTTTAATGAACTATTACAATTTCTATCAACAATTTTTTTTTGATCTGATGGTCATTAGAGTATGGTTATATTATTAACATTATGTGATCATTATTCGTTCTTATTTTTTCATTTAATATTCTGTAAATTAATATTTTAGTTATTATTAGGGCACATACATTTTGGTTTATAAATGTATGGTTATACAAATAAATATGAAAAAAAAGAGAATATATAATTTTTAATACTTACTATCAGAATCTTCACGTTTTCCCCACCCAACAACTGTACACAATGTATCCGGCTTCAGAACATATCCTTCTTCAGGTAAACACACAGGCACAAGATGTTCATGGAACGTGACTTTCTGCTGAAGCTGAAGAAACAAAACAATTATTTAAGATATTTGTATAAGAATTACTTTTTATTATTTAGAGTGATGCAGTTGTAATTTCATTAAAAAAAATAAATAAATAAAAATTATTTAGAAACATTTTTATACCTGGAATAAAGCGACATCATTGTCATGAGCAATCCCTATGTTATACATTGGATGTGGCACTACACGTTTAACTTTTGCTTTCTGTCCAAAGTAAGAGTGAGCATGCCTTCGAGTTATTCCTAATTGTATTGTCCATCCACTAGTGTCACCATGGCTAAAACTTAACAACAATTAATACAATAGTTTGAACTTTATGTATAGTTTACAGTTTTTTTTAAAAGCTTAATATAATATCTAGGTATTCTTTGTAAACTGTAATATATATTTCTACAATATTTGATCATACGAGTTCATCGTTATTACTAGTTATAATAGTTGTATGAAATTAAAGAACTCTACATTATGATTTTTTCTGTTGGTAGATTACTTTAAATAACTTAGTATAGTAATGTTTGAATAGAAATAAAAATAATTTTAAGTTAATCAATAAGTAATGAAAAATAACATTTTGCATATTTTCTAAACTTAAATCTTACTGCATTTATTTGGTACTAATAGCATAATATTGATATTAATATTATAATACAGCTGCAGGTTGTAAATATGAAATAATGATCAGGAACCAAAATTTCATGGCCTGATGAGCAACAAACATTTCTTTTAATTTTAGTGCCTTCTCTATAAACCTGATTGATGTAGGGACATTGTTTGAAAACGTTAATCTTCGTTGAAATTCATACAAAAACTAAATAATTTTAAAACATTCAATTTTATAATGAATCATCTTTTAACTTCTTCTGATGTTACTAAAAAATGAGGCATGTATTTTTATATTGTATGTTGGAGAAGTCTACTAATTCCATAATCCTAATAGCTTATGCTCTTGGTTTTATTATTCAATAGGTGATAACCTTTTTTTATCCTTTTTTTTCAATTTATTTATATTTCATACACATTATAGATTTTATTAACTAAATATTTTAAAAAATTCATTGCAGAGGCCGGCCCTAAAGACCCTTGGCTATGTGCCTGTGACAAACAAAAGGAATGGTCTTAACATGCATATAATAATGATGTTTATAATCATTAGTATAGTAAATGTGAATAGATAAAGATATAAATTTATTTAAACCAGATACTTTAATACTAAGAAGTAAGCCTAGGATAAAATACAATATTTATAAAAGAAATTATTATAAAATTTCACAAGTAAGAAGATTAATTTATTAATTAGAAATATTAATTTATTTGTTTGCAGTATGCCGGCTTGGTACTCACTTTCCAACACAATGAGATGCTGTAAGAACCCATTGGTCTGATATAAGAACTCCAGCACAGTAGAATACCTGCTCCGGTCCACCAAGAAGTGCTGCTAAGAATGGCCAATCTCCTGGTGTTGATCGCACTCCACCTATGATCCTCTTTGAAGGTTGGTAAGCCACTCTTCTTTGGCCACATACTGTAATTAAAATTAAATATTATAATCCATTCGCCATAAATATTCATTTACATTTGATAATTCAAGACTTTTAGTTGATAATTTAAGACTTATCATTATAATTCACTTTTATTTATTCTATAAACATGAATCTTCATCAAGTTTGATCAGTTTCGAAAATAAGAACTCCGTAGTGATATCAGGTCTTATATATATTAAAGCTACTTTTAATAGGACCTCAGACTCGTTTGTATATACTTCTTATACATTCCTTACTGGAGCACGAAGGATGGATCATCCTATGTATTACCAACTGATCCAAGCAAAATTGGGAATGTCGTGATTCATCCCAGGAGTCTGCCATGAAATAAATGTCAATCAGCCTTGCCAGATTCAAATTTGTACCACTACTGACTTAAGTTGATTATTTGATGCCTTAACACTCTCGGCCACTATCGCCTTCTATGCCAATAGTAACTTTCAGTTCTTAAGTTAAAACAATTAATGAGTTATAGTTTACATGAGAGGTTGCTTCTATATATACCATCAAAAAATTATTGGTGCACAATCAGAATAACAGCCAACTGGCCAGGGTATTTAATAGTGAGACCCGCACTCCTTAAATCTATTTAAGATGATAGCATCACAGTGAATGTGATGTGTGCTTTAAAGTTGTTGGGATGGATAACAAATGAATCACTAAAAATACAGCGCTACCATGACAGGCTTTAGGTTAACGGATTGTGTTAATTTTATATTTTAATGAAGAGAATTAGAGTAATTCAAGAACTATGTGAACTCCAAGTCTAAGCCTTTTTTTTTTTTTTTTTTTAAATTTTTTAAAAAGTTATTCTCAGAAACTACTCTTTTTAACTAAATTTCTAAAATTGTATAAAATTTCTCAGTGGATCATTTTTATTCTGAAATTGATGAATAATATTTTCATAAATACTATTAATTAATAAAATACACAAATATAAATAATTATAGTAGTAAGAAAATAGAAATATAATAGAAAAATTGTAGCTGATATTATAAAATACTCGGTATTTGAAATTATAGTTGGTAAAATAAAATTAAGAACTTTGTACTTCATACATAAATATAAAATTAATAATATAATATATTTATATTATTAATTTTATACATATGTGTAAATAATATATTTATATATTATAAATATAATATATTTATATTATAAAAATTGACAACGTTATTATGCTCAATGAATTTAGTTAGTTACCTTATTTAAATTTAATTGAAATTTTTTCTTGTTTAGCTGTACATATTACTCTAGATTAAACATGTAGGAAACCAAAATACAAATTACATAATCTCTTTCTTACTTACAAACATTACGACAAGAGAGATCAAGGGTGGCATATGATGTAGTTGGGCAGTTTCTTAATTCCTTTAGGTTTAAAGTTGCTTTTTTCTTCTTGTATGTGCCCCTCACTGATGTCGGTAATAATGTATGACCACTTGTTGCTTTTGTTGTTATATGACTTGAATTGACTTCACTAAAAAACATAAATTTAAGTAATACAATACTAATAATATAAAACTATTGTTGAATAGTTATAGCCTGTTTTTAACGATAAATAATTTTTAAGCTAATAAGAATTTACCCATATCCTAAGAAGTTGCATATTGATTTTGCTGAAGTATTTTCATTCCAGTTTTGTACACAAGCAGGTCTCCAAGATTGCAATTCTGGTTGGAAGATCTCTAGTTTTCCCTGCCCCTCATCTCCCATTTTTTCACTTAGGCGTACTAAAAAAATAATAATGATAGTAATAAATAAATAAAATATACTTAATTTTTAAGAATCATATACGTTTATTGCATTTATAATAAACATGTTTTACTTTTTAAACATGGATTTTACCACACTCATGATCATTGAGTCACTAGATAAATGAAAAACTGGTCAAATCATGCTAATCTGCATTGTATTAACTGGAAAATTGAGAAATAGCTCACAGGGTCTATGGAAGCTGAGGATAACAAATTATTATTCAAAATGCAAAGAAAGATGGCAAAGTTCAGCTGCTTAATATTAGGTATTATACCGATAAAAGCAGACTATTGGCTATTAAAAATGATCCTTAGGTTTGTTGGGCCCAAAGCTGAATTGTTACTATTGATAGATTTATGAGAAGGAGTTAGTCGGGGGTGCGGTCTTATTTTATTTTAAAATAAAATAATTACTATATTTTAATTTAGTATTTATCTGACCGCACCCCCGACTAACTCCTTCTCATATTATATCAACGGTAAACCATCTCTACTTCATTTGATAGATTTATCGTTATAATAACTGCGTCCTGAATATCTATCACTCATGATATGTAGAACAGTCAACTAACTTCCTCTAATAATTCATTGATAGATATAGCTACAGTTTTTACTGAAATTAAACCTTTTTTGAATTGATGAAGGAGACAAATTGAACTACATGTTGTGATCTGCTGTAAACCATAAAGAGCCTGAGTTCTTTTATTGAAGCCAGTAAGGATTTTTTTTTTCAAAGGAGTTTCTTAAGTCATCATGACTTTTAAAATTATAAGAGTAAAGCCATGTTAGGTGAGCGTTTTGGAAAAGGACCTCATATGTCAATTCAAATCCAATCTCTTATTGTTGATTTTATTTTATGAAGATGCTAAACAACAGGCAAATAACAACTATTATGGTGTAATAATATGTGTAGTACTATGCTTATATGATTTTGGATAAGGTGTACAGTCAAATTTTCAGTTCATGATATCATATGCTTTGTTCAGATTATATTTATTTTATTCACTTATGAATTAGGAAAAAAAAAAATACTTACAACAATTTCTCTCATCCTGTCCCCATGGGCAGTTAACCTCTCCATCACACATGTGTGATTGAGTGATACAAGTTTTTGTGCCACAGTGAATCATCTCTGGAAAAAATTCATAAATTTTACATAGAAAATGTTTTTAATCTGAAATGTAAATATATTAATGAAACTAGAATGTTATTGAACAGATTACCTCCTCTAATATTCGGATTACCTCCTCTAATATTATTGTGGGATTATTAATGGCCGCATCTTGTTCTTTAATGATACTGATTCTTAATTTTATGACTACTTTAGCTTATTTCAATGTAGGCAGGCTTTACTTTTGAAATCTGCAGCAGAAATACTACACACTTTGCAATAAGTGTTTGATAATGGTTGTTTCTCCCAAGTTTTTCAGTGTTAAAATAATTTAAAGAGCCGAGAGACAATATATTGTACAATAAAATAGAAAAATAATTGTATTCTGGTACAAGAAGAATATATTAATAATATCCCTTAAGAATATATCAATATAACCTCAGGCGGATTTACGGAGGGGGGGGAGGGCTTTCGGGCTGAAGCCCCCCCAAAACGGTATAATATAACCATGTTTTATAGAAAAAATATATCTCTTATAGTATTATTGTTCGTGTAATTACATTTAATAGGACTTCAAGAATCACTTAAACACCATTTCATATAGGTAGTTCATTTCTTTCTTCTTTTTTTCAAATTAATTATCGTTATATATATATGAAACAAAATCTTTCGGGCTGAAGCCCCCCCAAAATTAAATCTTGGATCCGCTAGTGAATATAACAGACAATATCATGGCATAAGATTTCACAGATAATTCAACTG